GGAGGCGGCAAAAGCTCAGAAAGGGGAGGCGGCAGCTGCTCATTAGGGGAAGGTGGAAGCTGCTGGTTATCTTGGAGTTTAGTTAACACTTCATTTGCCTCCTCACCATGGAGAGAGGAGACGTCTGAACCAGCCTGGGAAGGGGCCGGAGCGGGCCTATTGGAGTTACGCAGGACAGCTTCTCCGTGGGTAATCATTTCCCAGACTAAAGGGTCTCTATGTCACTGTGTAAGAATCTCATCAATCAAGCCCCAGTATGAAAATGCTGTGACTGGGACCTTTTCAGGACCAAAAACTCTATAATAATCTTGTAATGCATCACCCACTCGTTTCCATCTTTTAGAATCTATTGTGCCCTCCAATGGAAACCATGGGCAAACCTCATGAATAAACTTAAAATACTGTAATAATTCCTTTTCCTTTACCTTAATCCCTTGTGTCTTGAGTGCCTTACTGAGGTTTTCCACAAAGAGTTCATGCTCGCTTAATGCTTGACCCATGCCGGAGAACGGGAAGGGGGTTGCCGTTCACTCACTGTGGCTCGAGCGGCGCAGCAGGCACTCGCGCTGTGTTGGCCTCAGAATTTACTTTCACTATCTGCTTCTAGCCGGTGCTCTCGAACAAGCTCCCTCGTTAAATCCTCCGTGCCAGGTCTCCACGTCGGGTGCCACCTGGCTTGGCCCGCGAGTCAAGACGTGGGGTAATAACCGGAGGAGGAACGGGGATGAACAAGACAGGGCAAGAGACACAAGAGACGGAGACAAGACAGACTTTCTGATCAAGTCTCATTTATTGAGGAAGTGAACAGTGTCTAAATAGCCATATAGTGGAAGTGGTTGGGTGGGACTAGTTGTGGATTGGTAGTGGAGGTCCAGGACCACAGGAAGACGTCGAGGCAAGTGGGGATTGGTGCGGCAGCACTTCTTGCCCAAATGAGGGAAAATGTAACAGGAGCGTTCTATCGCCCCCTACCCATGGCTAAAGATAAGGGTCTAGTTTTAGCCTTTGGCATGAGCAAAGCCCATTTTTCCACACCATTTACTAATGAGGCTTTCTCTCAGTGAAGGTGTTAGGCTCTTTTGTCAAAGATAAGGTGGCCGAGTGTGTTTGAAGTTGTGTCTGCATCTTTTATTCTGTTCCATTGGACCTTGGGTCTTTTTTCCCCAGAACCATGCTACTTTTACCACAGTAGCTCTGTAGTATACTTCCAAGCCAAGGATTGTGGTGTACTCTGCCTTGCCTTTGTTGCCCAGAATTACTTTTGTTATTCGAGGTCTCTTCTAGTTCCAAATGAATTTTAAGTTTGTTTTCTCAAGTTCTGTAACATATGCTATTGGTGTTTTGATTGGAATTGTATTAAATTTGTATCACAATTTTGACAATGTGGCCACTTTGACTATATTGCTCCTTTCTACCAAGGAAAAAGGGATATCTCTTCATTTTCTGATATCTTTGATCTCCTTTTGCAGAATACTGTAGTTTTCAATATAAAGGTCTTTTACTTCCTTTGTTAGATTGATTCCTAGGTATTTCATTTGCTTGGATGCTATTGGGAAAGATGTTATTTCACTAATTTCTCAGTAAGTTTGTTACTTATGTACAGGAATGCTATTGATTTTTGAGTGTTGACTTGGGGGTCTTCTATGTAGAATATAATGTCATCTGAAAATAATGATTTAATGTCTTCCTTTCCCATCCTTATTCTTTTCCCTTGTTTAATTGCTCTGGCTAATGTTTACAAAATGATATTGATAATTTTGGTGACAATGGACATTTTTATCTTGTCCCTAATTTTACAGTGAAATCTTTCAGGTTTTTCCATTTATAATGATATTGGCTATTGGTTTGTCACAGGTGGCTTTTATTAGATTGAGGTAAAGACCATCTTATTTCAATTTTCTATAGGATTTTTATCATGAGTGGGTTTTGTCATATGTTTCTTTTATTTATTTATTTTCTATTTTAGGACAGGGTCTACGGGGTCTACAGGATCTCAGTATGTAGATTAGATTCATAGTGATCCACCTCTGTTCAGCCTCCCAAGAGTTGGGATTACAGGTGTGCGCTACCATGCCCAGTCTCAATCGCTGTTTCAGTGCACCCTTGGGGCGGGACCAGCACATGTTGTATGCTTTTCCTATATCTACTAAGATGATCACATATATTTATGATTATTATTTCTTCTTTTTGAATTGTTCACAAGGATGTAGTGACCTTCTTTGTCTCTCTTAATGTTGGCTGAAATTCATTCTGTCCACAAATAGAATAGCTACTCCTGATTTTTTCTAGGTTCTTGTTGCATGGGGAATTATTTTCCATCCTTTGACTTCACTCTATGAAATTTTAAAAATTAAATGTTTCTGGGTGTGTTTGGAGTTGTGTCTGCATTTTTTATTGTTGGATCTTGCTTCTTGATCCATTCTACCAGTCTGTTTCTTTTGATTGGTGAATTGAGATCACTAACATTGATGGTTATACATTATATATGTGGACTTTCATTGTAATGTCATTTCCCTTTTCCCCCCTATTTAATTGCTTACCTTGTCCAGTGGTTAATGGAGTTATAGTCTTTCTTATTTTTTTTTCTATAATGTCCTTCAGAACATTTTGGAGTGCTGGCTTGGTGGTAATGAGTTCTTCATGTGCTCTTTGTCATGGAAATATCTTATTTCTCCATCAATTTTGAAAGATAATTTTGCAGGGTAAATCAATGTGGGTTGGTGGTTGTTTTCTTTTAGGGCTTGAAATACTTGACTCCAAGTTTTCCTTGAGAGTTTGAGAAGTCTGCTGTGATTTTGCTATGTTTTTATAGGTGATTTGTTTCTTTTTTCTATTTGCTTTTAACATTTTGTACTTGTGTTGAATTTCTGGAGTCATCACTATTACATACTTTGGTGTGGATTTCTTTTTGGTCATGACTAATTAGAGTTTTACATGCTTCACTTATCTGTACGTTGATTTTTTTCCACGCTTGAGAAGTTTTCTGGAATGACTTCTGTGAACTGTTTGTCTCCTGCTTTTTCATTGACTCTAACGAATCTTATGTAATTCCTTTTTGCATCGTCTTGCAGCTGTTGGATTTCTCATGGTTCTTTAATATTTTAAAGAAATCTTTTTCATGGTTTCATGATTGATAACTGTAATTCTGTATTTTATGTCTTACAGTCTGTCCTCACATTGGCTCATTCTGCTGAGTATACTTTCAATGGAAATTTTAATCTCCTGCCTATCCATTTGAATCTGTTTCATGGATTCCATTTCTAAACAATGTCACTGAAGAGAGCACTCTGCCCATTGCCCAGGAGAGATCTTGGACATAAATAGTCATTTTCTTCATGTCTTTTTTTCTGTAGGCAAAGGGAAGCCACTAAAGCTTTTTTTTTTTTTTCTGGAACCAGGCATTGAACTCAGGCCCTTGTGCTTGCCAGGGAAGCGCTTATTCCACTGAGGCATCTCCCAGGCCCCATAAAGCTTTTTAAGAAAGGCAACAAAGTGGTAAGAATGTCTGTAGCAGGGTGCTGTGAAACATATCTCAGTACTCAGGAGGTTGAAACAGGAGGATTATCTTGAATTCAAAGTTAGACTGAACTACAGAGTGCTGGTACTACAGGTGTGTGTCCCCATGTTCAGCTGAAAATAATTTCCAACGTATTTTCCTTTCTTCTTTTTCTTGCTTTTTTTTTTTTTTTTTTTTTGTGGTACCCAGGATTGAACACAGTATTTTTGCACTGAGCTACCTCTCCAACTCCTTTTATATTTTTATCTTGAGACAATGTCTTATTAAATTATCCAGGGCAGGCTCAAACTTTTGACTCTCCTGCCTCAGACTCCCAGGATGCTAGGATTACAGCCATGTTCCACCAGGCTCAGTTCAACATTCTAAGAAAAGTTTTGTAAGTTAAACTTTATTTTCAGCTTCATACCCAGGTGATCTTCTTAAGATTCATTGTATAATGCTTGGGAGTAGAAATAATTTACCCCCTTCCCATTGCAGTGTTAGGGGTTGAACCCTGGGCCTCACACATGCTAGGCAACTGCTGTGCCACCAAGCTATATCCTCCATCCTTTTTATTTTTTAATCATGAAGAACCTATTAAAATCTATTAGGATGAGAAGCAAGACTTAGGTAATTGTGTGCTAGTTATTTTGAACAATATAATGAATTAGGTAAAATTTGTCAGCACTGTGAAATGAAGACTATGACCTGCCTAGGGCAGAAATACTTAAAAAAATGCTACCTTCTATGTGGTAATATGAATGGCAGGAGTTCTACCCTCAGCTGAGGCTTGTTGGCAGCCTAGAACTCATTCCAGTGCATCGATCATTGCCCAGAGTATTCTGGATTTTTTTCTCCTCTGGGGCACATGGCCAGCAGGGTGGACTCTGGAGTTCAGGGCTCATGGGCATCAGGTCACACTTCCTCTGCTGAGGAGTTGCTTCAGTAACTGAGACTTTTCTATAAAATGGGGTTATCAACTGTACCTTATAAATAAATATACCATATAAGAACTTTGAAATTTGTTTGTTGACATCTACAGAACAGGTACTCATGACTCACACAGGTACAAAATGAACACATACCAGAGTTTATTATCCAATGAGAGAACCACAAAAGTATTAAAACCTGACTTGATTTTCAATGGGCTAAAACTAATTTGTATTTATGTGATAGGAATCATTTACATAGCAAGACAAGAAATAGTCACATTAAATTTCCTATCGAACTCTACCTCTATGGAATTGTAAAGTAACTCATTCAAAAACATCAGCACATCCTGCATATATCCAGTGAAGACACTCAAGCATCTCTTTGGCCCATTCCAAACTCCTGAACCTTTCTTGCAAAGCTTTATTGTGAAGGTTTATAACTTCATCTATGTAAAGCATACAACTGCCTGATTCAGAGCATACATTCAACACTATTATCACTTTTCAAATCTATAGCATATTCCTCTGAATACTTATGTTTTCAGCCTTGAAAGGAATATCCATTTTTTAAAAAAACAGCCAAATTATCTGAACCAAATCTGTGAAAAAATACTAATTTTGCTTTTAAAAAACAAGGTTTTGTTTTGGTTTGGGTTCTACCCCCAACACGGCAGAAAACTTTTTGTTGATGGTATAACTGCTTTCATAAATTGTTGAAACATTTCAAATTGTTAGAAACATTTAGAAAATCAAGTATTGAGTTCCACATTGTTTAACTTTCCAAGATAAATACTTGGAAAAATTACATAAAGAGTATGTGGTATGTTCGCTTAAAATTCACTCTAAGTTTCCCAAGCCTGGGCACTAGCATGAACATAGCTGTCATGTGACCAGTGTGCAGGGGAAGCCAGGAAGGCACTCAAAGGTATTCAGTGAGAGCTGTGTCGATAGGATCAAGTTTATTGTAGATGAGGTAATTACTTGATGAACACGTGGTCTTGCTTTGTGGGGAGGTTACTCTAAAAGCAAGATACCATGAATAAGCTAAATCACAGTCAGCTGAGCTACATCATTTCCTTTTCCTCTTGGTTTTGACACCCAACTTCCCCTTTATTTAGGGTTGACACATCTAAGCCAAGCTTCTCATGGAGAGGTGACTTAGGAAATGGAGCAATGTATCTTGCGGGGTTAGCAGAGAAATGTCCCCGCTCTGTGGCCTGACTTTGGTCAAAGTGACCATTCAGTCTAGAGCTCCCTAGAAGTACAGGGAGCATAGGTCCTGCTCCAGCCCTCCCAAGTCAGAATCCACTTTTTGGTGCTAAGGATTGAAACCAGAGCCTCAACCACTAGGCTGTAGGTCTAGCCCCCAAAATCATCTTAGCAGATGTATGTGCTTATGAAGGTTTGCTCCCTGGACAACAGCTGAGGCCCCCAATCCTGCTTTCCTGGTATAATGGAAGACTTCGGCTCTGACCTCAGACTTCACAGTAAGCATCTGCTTTGTTTCCCACCACTTGCCTACTTGTAATTTTTTTTTTAGTCTTTTATTTATTTGGTACAGGATCTTACTATGCAGCTTGGAACTCATAGTGATCCTCGTTGTCAGCCTCCCTAGTGCTGGCATCACAGGCAAGAGCCACCACCATGCTGTTTGGGGGCTGGAAAGGTGTGCCCAGGATTCTGGCGCAGCATGGCATGAGGTACTGGGGAATCAAATCCAGGTCCTTGTACTTGCCAGGCAGGCGCTTAGACGTCTAAGCTATCCCCCAGCCCACCTGCCTACTTTTCAATGTGCTGGGACGACCAGACAGGGTCTTTATTAATAAAAGTCCTCCTGAATTGTAGCTGCCTGCCTGCAGACCTTGTCCTGCACCACTCCCTCTCCTGCCCACTTTAAGCCCTTTGTGCCTATCCTAATTCTCTGCAGGCACATCCACATGATGAGCAGGGAGCTATAAGCTCACATCTGGCACTGTGCAACTGGCATACTGTATGCTCAGACATGCTTAATGAATAGCTGTAACTTGATCTAATTTATGTATAGGAACACTACACTGCTTGTTTTCTGTGCCGCAGATGAGATACACTTATGCGCAGAGCACATTTTCCTTCTGGCCTTCACATGGAAAATTAATGATGGAAATCTTTATATTCTATATAAAAACAAAATCAAGTTTATATATGAAAATGTCTAAAAATTAAATTTTTTTCAAATAAAAATACATTTCTGGTATGCACTGATAAAAAAAAATATCAAGTGCTTTGTTCCCCTACAACTCCCTTGCTTTTGCCTACTTTCTCCTGGAAGCAACTGACATTCCATTGCCTACATATGGAAAGTGAAAACCTGCTGACTTCACGTGAAGCAGACTGCAACTGCTCTTTTCACATCTGTGTAAGTACTTCCTGCCAATGTTCTTCCTTGGGTGTCACTGTGAGAATGCCTGTACATGAGGACACTTCATCCATTTCCCTGGAGAAAGGGAAGAGCTAACATGTCAAAAGTGATTTTCCAGGTCACACTACAGGAAAGCTATGCTGCTCTGCTCACGGAGCTGGGCCAATGCTGGCCAAATGGTGGGAGGCTGGCCTGGCCGAGCTGCCAGGAACCCACTAGGGCTGTAGGCTGGCAGCAGGGAGAACCGGCTTCCAGACTGCGAGCTGAGAGCCATTCATAGGTCCCTTTTGCCACCAACCTGCATTTTGATCACAGCATTACTGGTTTAGCTGTGCTTTTCAGTTAAGTCTGATAGAAACTGGTTTCAGTCCAATTATTCCAAAGGGTAGTCCAAAGATTAGTTCACATAATGCAACGACGTATTGTAGAAGCAGACTACAGCTGTTTTCCTTAATCTATTTACAATCTTCCTACCAAGAAGGTTAAATGAACTCTATTAACATTAGGTTAGGACTAAACAAATGCCACAATCACAGGCATGTTTCTTTTGAGCTATCTTTGCTTCACTTTTCTGAGCTCAAAAAACACAAGGGAAAGGTGTGCAGAATGAGAATCGGTATCTGCCTGGTGTGCAGTGAGGACAGAGCAGTGGCCCCTTCTGCTGCCATGGCTGAGCCGGCAGGCAGGAGGCGAGGCAGCAAGATGTGCTCACAGCAGGTTAGGAGCCCAGTCTCAGCTCCTTGCTAGCACCGAAACAGTCCACAGCATTGCTGTCTGCTGCCTGGAGGGTGGTTTCATTACTGTTCTTAGGCCCAAAGTCAGAGGAAGGGCTTCTGATATTTCCTCTGAGTCCATCTGCATGCTTGCTTATTGCTAATTTTTCAAATGAGGTGCACTGCTCCAGAGGCAACGAGAGGTGCAATGGTTCTGTACCGGATCAGGTGCTGTGAGCCCTCCTCCAAGTCAATCACGTAGTCCCTGAAAAAGGCACGAAAACATTTATCTGCAGAGCTCAGCTTCCCCTCTGTGGGGTTATCTGCCATGGGGAAAGACAGATGTCACTCACTTTTGCTCATCTGCTTCAGGTTCTACCAGTATGTTTTCTTGTCGTTCTTTCACTCTTAGAAACACGTATGAATCTAGATCTGGTTTGGGAACTGCCAGAAAAACAATAAGGCAATCAGAAAATGCAGAGGAAAGTTGCTGTTCTGAATGGTATTAAGCCCTGAAGAGCCTCTGGTGTAAAAGCAGCTTGGGAGGGTGACCTGAGGAGACATCTAGCTGCCCAGGAAACCACTTAATAACTGAGGAGTTCTTAAGAGTGTGCAGGAGTTCTGTCAAACAGTGGCCCCTGATCTGAAAGTGCAACACTTGCCACTTGAAGATACACTTATAAGTGAAATAAACCAGACCCACATGTGTAAATATCATATTGTCTCCCTAGTATAAGAACTCAAAAGAGGAATTACATATAGAAAGGTACAACACAAAAGGAAAGCGAGAACTTGAGGACTGGACAATGAGGAGTAGGCAAGGAGAAAAGCTGGGAAACATGACAGGGGCAAAGCCATGCATTTGTATGCATGAGATGGGTGGTACAGTGATCCTGAGGTATATCAGCAGGTTTTTGAGACTAGTGGTTGCCTGGTAAGATTCTCACCCTGACTAACTGTATATGCTGGTGCCTGTGAGCCAGGCGATTGCACTGAGGATGGCGATGTGTAATAGAGGGGTCACACTTGGGAGTGCCTGCCATCCTGGTCTTTTAAATATATATTTCTTGTCATGACATACCATTTATTTCCATAATGTCTCTCAAGTAAAGTTTTTTTGCTTTTTTTTTTAAAAGGGTAATAACTGAAAAAAAAAAAAGACAATAAGAAAAAAAAAATGTCACAGGTCTGTCCTGTTACAATTCTGTATATGGTTAGATTTCTAAATTTCTTTGTAAAAACATGTAAATGCTTATTTCTACTTTTTTAAAATTATTTTTCCTTGGGCTGGGGAGACAGCTCAGTAGAATAAGTGATTCCCTGGCAAGCACAAGGGCCTGAGTTCAATCCCTGGTTCCACAAAAAAAAAAAAAAAAAAAAAAAAAAAAAATTATTTTTCCTTCAGATTCTGTAAGGACTTAAAGTTCAACATATCAATATTTGATGGAAAATACCTGTTCCATGATATGCCAAAGATGTTTGATTATTAGACAGATAGGGTAAACCGAACTGCATATATTGCAGGTTAATAATTAGCTTCTCTTCTGGAGGGTTAACAACCTAAATTAGCAGACCAAAACTGGAGAAAACAAAGGGCTGCAAGGTCAGCCAACATTTTGGCCCTAGTCTTTCAAGGTCAGTGAAGACTCAAGACATAGGAGAACCTGTACTGTAACATCATGTAACTCAGTTGTGCTCCAAATTTTCTGATCAAGGAGATTATGGAGCCACAGAGGAAAGTGATCAATGATGTATAGTATGCTTGAGGAGAATCACATGGAGAGGAAAAAACATTCTCTCAGGCTTTCACAGACAGCAAATTGGTCAAGCAATGGCCGTGACTCATCCTCATGGCTGACAATGACAAAAGATCTACAAAGTGCGGTACAGGGTTACAGGATAAATCCTGAGGGTACTTGACTGACCTTATCAGATACAAAAGTTACATTTCTTGTTATATAGGTCTTGCTATATCTTGGTCTTAACCATCCAGCAGAAAAGTATAAAAACGAGGTATATAAAGTAAAGCCATATTAACACGATGAGCTATAAAAGGCTCAAGTCAATAGCTTCTGAGGATAACCCACTAATATTATAGACTGATAGACAGTGTTGGATTGTTTAGCTGAATTCAAACACCTATAGTATTTAAGATACCAATAGAATATCCACCTCTGACAGGACTGAAAAAAAAAGGGGGAGGATACAAAGGAAAGATTATATTGTATTTATATACACAAAATAGATATACAGCTACTTTCGCTTAATTCAATGAGAAGAGGTGTACTAATAGTGCTTGGACAGGATATCTGGTCTGCTTCTTGTACTATGGAGAACCACTAAGAAGATAACAATGTACAATGTATTCATTATTGAAAATGTCCTACTCATTAGCTTTGAAACTGTCTCATTCATATTTGTTTCTCAGTTAAATTAAAAAAAATAATAAAAGTGCAACACTCCAAGACCCCAGTGCATGCTTGGAACTCTGGATGGAACTAAACCTTACAAAGTCCCTGACTTAAGAACATTCAAGTTTTGAACTTTCAGACATGAAAGGATCTCCAGTAACAAAGGTTCATAGATGTGAACAAATTGTGGAAATAGCGCACGTGTCTGTGGGACACTGTCTTAGTCACATTGCCACAGTTGTGCTGCTGTGTGCTTAAATGTGCAGGGTAACAGGTACCAACTGGAGGAGGGAGGGTGGAAGAGAAGGTGGCACTAAAAATCATCAGCCAGAGGACATGGAGGGCAAGACGGAATTTCACTCATACCTGACAGCAGCACCGGTTTCTGATGTATTCAATTCTGTCTTCCCCGTCCCCCCTTAGAAAAATGATCTGCTGATGTTTGAATAGTGGCTCTTTTTTCTCATCCTGGGTGACTCTACCCCCTCCCTCCTTCAATCAGTTGACTCCATGCAATCCCCCATGTGCCTGTTGTACCATACCACCATTTTAGGGTAACTGTAAAAATAAACATAATTTATAGTGCTCAGTTCTTTTATGTTTTACATTGTATATTTGTATCAAAGCTGTTTAAGACTCATGTTGTTAGACTTACAAATGAATTTGACTTAATGAAAGTTCACCTGGAAAGGAATTCACCTATAAGTTGGGGACTTGCTATATATATATTTTTTTCTTCATATATAGATAAAGTTTAATTTAAAAATTAGCCACAGTAAGAGGTTAACAATACTTAACAGAGCAGTTGTAATAATGCTGCCAAAAACTTATGTGATCTTTCTTGAAAGGTCTTTATAGAGCACAGCTCATACTCACTCTGGGTGATGTGAGAGGGTACACTGCCTTATGAGAGAGTGACACAGGCACTGGGACACAGCAACAGGCTACTAGCAAGGAATTTGTCAACACAAGCACTGTGATTCAGGAACAGCCAACCTGCTAAAAGCCATTTTCACAGGGCATGGTGGCACACACCTGTAATCCCAGCCTTCAGGAGACTGAGGCAGGAGGATCATTGAGAGTTTGAGACCAACTTGGGCTACATGGTGAGTTCAAGGTCAGTCTCAATTATCTGAGGAAGCTACTTATCTCTTCCTTTGTACCATGTGAGGATACAGAGAGCACCATGATGTGGGACAGGTGCTTACTAGACACCAAATGTACTGGTGTCTTAAACCTGGACTTCCCAGCCTGCAGAACTGTGAGCAGCTCAGATGGACCCTTGGGGCTTCTGGTGTGGCTCGAGTCCAGGTGAGCGCAGAGAAGCTTGTGAACAAGGTGGGATCCACCTCCTGGGGAACTGTTTGAGCTGGTCTGGCAGCTGTGCCTGTCAAGGCCTTACTCACATAAAGCAGGCTGTGTAAGACTGAGAAACACAGACTTCCCTGGAAGCTAGGGGCCCAGCTGCTTAATCTGGGGCTAGGGGTTCCTAATTTCTTCAGCCGAATTCGGGAGCCAGTGAAAGGGGTACTGAAGCAGCATCTCAGACAAGCTACCCTTCCCCTCACTGCTCCCTCTTCTTCATCTCCCTGCTCTCTCCTGCCTAACTAGAGAAACTTCTCACTGGAGATGAGGTGGCCTTACTAGAGGTAATGGGGACCCAGACGGTTTCCCAGCCTCCTGCGTTCCAGATCTGCAAGGTGGACAATTGTACCCTGCAAGGAGAGGCGTGGGTGGGTGCCCACATCTTGGTGCTCATCCTTCACAGACAGTGGCAGATGGTGCTGATGGGATGGGCCCTGGGAACACAATGTGATGTCTGTGTCTGCAGAGGCAGCCTCAGGAGTCCTGCCTCTCTGGAAAAGCCCAACAGTTACAATGGAATGGTGACTTCCGCCATCATCCTTTCTTCTGTTAATCAGAGCCTTTCCTCTCCTCTCTTGGCTCTTATCTGTACACTTAGTTTTGCATATTTGAGAAGAAAGAATGAAGATGATGATCCTACTCAAGCCCCTGAAGGTGAGCGTGGGCTGAGAGGAGCTTTGCTTACCTGCTCTTAGGAAGTCTACCTTCTGCAAGTTTGGAGGCATGTGCTTTAAGGCGACGTTCTTCAGATAGGTCTCCGTGTGAGCCATGAACCTGAAATACAGAGTGCAAATGACCATGGCACACGGCACAGAGCTGGCAGGCAGATCTAAGATGAGGCTCTTGCATGGGTGGCGTGGCTATCACCATCAAGTGCAGGCCCAAGCTGAGGACCAAGGCAGTGCCAATGTCTTGCTCACTCACTCCTTGGCAAAGGCAAACTCCTCTGGAGAGAGGCTGGAAGGCTCCCCTTCAGGGCGTGTCTTCTCCTTCTCAAGGACATGCGGGAAAAACTTCTCTATCTGTGAGGATAAATAAAAATCATGTTAGCTGTCGGGATTCAAATGTCAAATATACTCATTTCATTTCCCTAATTTTTTTAGTGTCTATGTAGTGAGGCTGGCCTGAAACTCCCTATGTAGCTGAACTCCAAGCTGTAATCCTCCTGTCTCAGCCTCCTGATTGCTGGGACCACTGGCATGTGCTGTCACGCTCAGCTCTCAAACACACTAGCTTTCTGAAGGAGGTCAAGGGAAGGGGCTGGGGACACAGTTCAGTAGCACAGGGTAGTCTAGCATGGGTCAGGCCCTAGGTTCAAACTCTAATAGCCCCGCCCTCTCTCCCCAGTAAAAAGGAAAACCTGACATAAGGCAAGTTTTCATTAAGACTCTAATAATAAGATCTAAGTGCTAGACTTCAGGAAAGTAGGCTTCTGAGAATTCAGAAAAGATAAAGGCTGTGAAAAGATGGTTCCATATGGGAGACTTTCGTCAAAGAAATAAAAGACACTGAAGAAAAGGCCCATCACTTAACATTCTTATGTTAAGAATGTTAATACAGGATATAATTTTAGGAGCTGAGATATACATGAAAGCTGGAAGGATGTATGCAGAGTATACAAGCAGACGTAGCAATGATAACTACTTATAATAATGATATCTACCAGATTTTTGGAAAAAACATTTAAGAGCAGGAACAATCTGCAGACCCAACACTCCCCAACAAGAATACAAAACCTCAAAACACCCACAACCAGACAAAATGAAAGCTCGGAGCTATGAAAAGGCATGCATTCAGAACTAGGAAGGCACCAGCCTGCCACGTCATCAGTGCTGTCACTTCTGTTCTTCGGCTGTAGGGGAAATGACAGTTGTGAGGAGGAACATCAGCACTCACCTGTTTTGGCCAGGACCAATTGTGTCCTGGGAGAAATTAACATTTGTAGGGAGCTACTTTTTTCTTGTCATAGACAAATTGCTATTATATCACTTAGTATATTAAAAATAGATGTATTTTTTGTATCTTCATGATCTTGGAAAAAAAAATTAACTAAAATCTAAAATCAGAAGAGGGCTGAAAGACTGGACACAGGTAAATCTCCTGGTTTTCCAAAATGGAAAGAAGGTGATGCACCTTCCAATATAGAACAAGGCTTTCATGTTGGCAATGGCACTATATTAGAATAGGGAATTTTGAAAGATGGCTTCTAAAGACAAAGGAAAGGACATACAGTAGTTAACATGAAGAGGACTGACCTGAGTAGCTGGGGAGAAGAAAAGTGGCCCACTAGTTGGGATGAGGAGGCATATATATCTTTTTAAAAAAATCTGATAATGTCTTTGTGACTTTATGTGGACAAACTAAACCTGGAACTCAGAGATAATATCAACTAGAAAGTTCACAAATGGTTGAATGAAAAATACAGTGGTTACATCAATGGATGGATAAAGATATGTTTTTTTTTATACAATGTCATAAAGAAGGATAAATTTGAGACATTTCTAGGTAAATGGATGCACCTTGAGACCATATTCTTAAGTGAAATAAATAAGGACCAAAATATATAGTAGATACTTGGAAATGAAAAGAAAATGTTCAAATGAGAAAGAGAACAAGGGAAGGAGAAAGAAGAAAGGACAAGAAAAAATGAAAACAAAGCCTCTGAAAATAAGGAGCAAAACAGGGGTTGAAGGGAGAGGAATGGGAAAAAGAATCTAGATATATCATGTACATGTACAGGTACAAGTTCCCTATGACAAATGCGATCACTATGTCTATCTAAAATGTACCAAAAAAAAAAAAAAACAAAAAACAAAAAACCAAGGACACAGTGGCTACAGTCTGCAGGAAAACTGCTGGTGAAATATTCTTATCATTGGCTCAGTGCTACTGTTTTTAGGTTCCTGGGGATGGAATCCAGGGCCTTGCACAAGCTAAGCAAGTGCTTTTCCACTGAGGTATACCCCAGCCTTGGCTTACTGCAGATACAACTTTTATGACACACACATGAAAACTGCTGCTTATGAAAAAAAGAGGCTAAAAATCCTGACGAAACAAAGTATTAAGAGATTGCTTTTTTGTGACAAGATCAAGGTTGAGAGGCCAGGAAAACAAATTAATTAACTTATTTATTTATTAATTTATTTATTTTTGGCGGAACCAGGGATTGAACTGAGGCCCTTGCCTCGCCAGGGAAGCGCTTATTCCACTGAGCCATCTTCCCGGCCCCTGACAAATCTTTTTTAAAAAATAAAGTCTAAGAAATATACATATCAAAGCTCTACACTTAAGAGATCAAAAACCCAAGCCATACAGACAAGATGGTGAGTGAATAGGGAAATTACAACCTCCACACTTCAGGAGGCTTGCAGGCGAGTGTGGAAGCTCTGACTAGCACATCTGCCACATATGCTAATGTGACACTAGAAGTACCACATCAATTTTAACTTCCAAACAACAAAAGCAATCATCTTATTTCACCCAAGTGGTCAAACCACAACTGAGAGATTAATCTAAGATATGATAAATGAAAGCCTTTCTGGAGAAGAGATGAAGAGAGTAAATGGATTTAAAGAGTTGGAATGTTTCCTAGAGAGAATATCTGGATGAGAACTATAGGCTGATAGCTGAGGAACTGTCATATAGAAGAGAGAATGAATTTGATTTATAATATGTAAAGAGACAAAATGGAAACAAGAAACTCTAAGAAACAATTTTCAATAGTTAAAACATGTATGAAGAATGTATCATAATTACATATTTAGGACTTGGAGTGCCACAGTGCTATTGTAGAATGTGAAGTTATCAAGCCCCATTTTGACACAAAACAATTTTTAAAACTATCTCTTCCTAGTCACTATTTCCTATTTAACCAATGCAAATGACTCCACCCTCAGAAGCACCTTAGTGTACCTCAGGGGGCACCACTCATAGGAGAAAATCAGACCATAAATGTGGAAGGTGTCCCAGTACCTGTTTCAATGCACTTCCCAGAATAGTCAGTTGGCTGCCTGACTCTGGCTATCCTGATGTGGGGTAATTAGCAGCATCTTCAGGCTTTAGACCCTCACAGACTCTGCCCACTATCTCCCCAGGAAATCCGGCTACATTACAAAACATCACTGCCGTCATGCCCACTGGAATCTCTATGTCAAACCTTCATGAGTCGACACCGCAAGTAGCTGCTGAGGACATAGCGGATCCTCTCCATCTCCATTTGATGGATGCTGACTTTCAGATCTTCCTTTTTGGCTCGTTTGAGATTTTCTTCCTATTAAAAGAGAAATTATTGGCTTGTGATGTGGCTCACCTCCAGCACCACAGGGTAAAATAAAAGACAGAGAAAGAGAAATTAAAGTATTAAAAAAAAATGTTAGTCAAAGACTAGGGACCATTCAGCACTAGCAAAGTTGAGAATGTAAAGACTGTTTCACTGAAGGAAACCAAAAAGTCAACCATGTAAGAATTCTCATTTTCTTTTCATTTTTTAATTGTACAAATATGATTATATTCCCATTGTATAAATTTCAAGTAATACTTATTTACTTTTAGATAATAACTGAATAGAATCATATGGTCAGCCTCAAGGGCCCAGAAAGACTAATCCATGTGTAAAGAAGATAGTGTAACACAGAAATGTCTAAGGGGCCTAAAAAGCAATAATAAAACGCTAGTTGAGAAACTGTGAAATACCAACATTTCTTTCTTTTTTTCTTTTATATTTATTTATTTATTTTTTGTGTGTGTGGCCAGCTCAGCCCACCAGGGGGCGGGGCTGGCTGGCATGTGGTGCTGGGGGATTGAACCATGGTCCCTGTGTTTTGCTTAGTTTAGCTTGTTCTAAGTAGGTGCTTTAGACCACTGAGCCATCTCACCAGCCCATACCAACATTTCTAAAAAGTCTCTGAAGTTGATGACATAAGGCCAGATCAGCTAAGGTAAGGACCACAGATTTGAATGTCTACAGGCCAGGTAGAAAAGAGTATGATGGGGTATAGGGGAGGCTGTCAGGGGTTGTGGGGAAGAGAACACTATACAGGGGTAGCCCTTAATCTGCTCTGTCAGCTGTTCTCGTGTGGAAACATGGGTCAGTGACATCAGATCTTTACAGACTTTACACTGAGGCTGATATCTAGATATTTATAAGAACTTTCATGCTTTCTAAATGTGGATAATATAAAATATAAAATAGAATAATACTTAAAAGTACTGGGCTGAGTAGAACAAAACAGATTTGTTATCTGACAAGCCTCCCCTATACTCACCAAATGCTTTAACCTTCTCTTCCTTCATGATCAAACAACTCTTACCATATGATCTAGCTGTTCCATGACACATTCTACAATTTCAGGCTTGCTTTCTAGCAGCTCGGGGGCAAATTTTTCATTCATCCAGGCCTAAAAAGAACGAGAAAGAAAACAGAGATCATTTAATGGTGGATCAAAATAATTCAGGAAATCAAGTTAAACCAATAAAAACCATAGACTTTTCTGGCAAAGAAAACTAAGTAACAGGAAATACTGGGAATGCTTTGAAGACAAACTATGTTTTATTGATGGCTTTCCCACATCTTCTAGTGAGGAGGATGTGTTCGTTCATAATCATTTATTCAACTGTTATTAAAAAAAAATCACCACCTACTTTAGTAGCTGGTGTAACTTAGAGAGTACTGCCACCTTGTGTTCTGAGTCACTCACTGGTCACCCAGTAACAGTAACATCCAACACGGCTACTTCCCTCCAGGGGGCGCCCCTCATAGTTTTCATTGTGAGAGCTCATGGAGATTCTATGTACCCATCTTTCCCTCTCATATTTATACTATGTGGGAAATGGCTACAGGTATCCTCATCTTATAGATGGAAAAACAAAAACATGTTATTCACCTTCTAATTGCTTCCAGTAATAAAAGATTATAATAGAAATAGATTTATTTTTTCAAGGTCTCAGAGCATGAGGTTAAATGTCCCATTTATAACTTGGGCCCCCTGTTCCATGTCTTTTGCAGATTAGGGAACTAAGGAGAACTAATTTCTTTTATCTTTCAACTACTGAGTTTAAGCATAGCTTAGAATTTATATCAGGCCCAACTTATTTTTTCTAATATCCTTGAGTCTCTACTTCCCTAATAATAGTCACCCTGGCACATCATTAAATACTGAGTATTCCTATAATCATAAAATTGTTTTTCAGGTGCCTGAGCTTCTTAGTGTTATTTATTTATTTCTTGTGTATGCACAGGGGACTGAACTCAGAATCTTTCACATGTGAAGCCAAGAGTTCTTGAGCTGCTCCCCCAGGCTACAGCTATACAATCTTTATAGTGAGAATACAACAGATCATATTTTCTGGAGACCTTTCCAAAAGTCACTGATACAAACACTTGTGTATGTACAATTTCATTAAGAATATGGTTGTTAGTTTAAAAGTCCCATGTGTCCCCTTTCTCAGTAGCCTGAGTTTAATGTTTAGGTTTTCTTTTATAGTTTTAATGCATTTGTATCTCTGCAAAATACTTCCCAACCTTCTCGTGACAGGACATTCAAAGAACATGATAAGGCTTCTATGTCACAAGAGGGTAAATAATGTAGACTTAGGGAGATCTTTCATTTATGATCATAAAACATTAGGAAAAGTTTTCTATTTACAGAAATCTTTCAAATAAACCTTCAAAAGTTGTGGTGAGAGATTTGTGATTAAATCCACAATCATTAAAAAAAAAAAAAATCAGGTTCTATGCTTGAAGTAGTGACATCTGGTTCCTAATGATTTTGGCGGAGCGGTGGTGCCAGGGATTGAACCCAAGGTCTTTTACATGCCAGGCAAACACTACCACTGAGCTACGTTCTCAGCCATTACCTGAACTTTTAATGACAGCCTGTCCATCACTGTTATGAGTTAACTGTGTCTCCTTTAAAACTGCCTCTATCGGCTGGGTGTCCATACCTCAGTGATGGAGTGATTGCCTAACATGCAGGAAGCCCTGCATTCTACCCAGAATTACAAAACAGAAAAACTCTGTATGTGGAAGTTCTAACTGCTGGTACCTCTGAATGTAACGATATAAAGTCAGGGCTTTTTAAGAGGTAACTCAGTTACAATGAGGTTATTAGGATGGGTCATAACTTAATGACTGATGTCTTTAGAAGAGGAAAAAAGTTTTGTCACAGGTACACACAGGAGGGAAAATGATGTGGAGATTGGGAGAAGACAGCCACCTATATGTCTAGGAATCAGGTCTCAGGAGAAACCACCTGTGCTGGTGCCTTGGTCTTACCCTCTAACTAAATAAACTTCTATTGGTTAAGCCATCCAATCTGTACTACTTTGCTATGTAGCCATAGCAAACCAACATAATTATTGAGAGACTCTGCACTGCACATACCATCTCTTTTTTTTTTTTTTAATTTTTATTTATTTATTT